CATTAAAATACTGCATGAAAATGGAAACGTTAAAAATTGCTAAATCTAAAAAAAAAAATCACTGTATATCATTGGTACAATATTTTCACAGGTTGGTCTCCCAAGGGCATACTATTATGTATCACCCTTTGCTTATTGTATTGGTACTATGCTGCATTTGCTAAGGTGATTATGTATTAAAGTGACCCATTCAACTTATAAAAGTTGAAGGGTCAAAAGGAGGACAATGTAGGACTGCAGCATGAAATCACCCTTTTAATACATTATATCTACCAGTGTGACATTATGTATGTAATCTCATGAATTGCAGCCCAGGTTTTAGGAATGGGATTTGGGATTTGTTAGTAACCTGTTAAGAATTGCCTTTGGAGAATCTGTTGTTGTAACTTTTCTTTTCTGGAACTTTTTTTTGACATTGTAAATGTAACACCATTTTAAACTTTGCACTGCCTTAACTCTCTTTAAAATTAGGTGTGTGTCTATGTCAAAGGTGGGCAATAATTTCTGAAGGGGGGTCACTTTGCAAGTTTCAGAAGTGTCTGTGGGTCACCACAGAAAGGGGAAAGCCTTGGGCAAAAGGGGTATGGGCAGGAGAATTCAAGTGCTCTCCCACCCACCAGGCCTTGATTGGCCTGAGAGTGGGGGAGTGCATGAAGTCTTTGCCCACGGCCCCTGTCCTGCTAGCGTTATGCAGTGCATAGAGAGATCCGCCAACTGTTTTGAACAGTTGGCAGTTGCCTCTAGACCAGTGGGCACCAACCAGTAGATCAGGACCTATCGGTAGATCTTGGAGCCTCTGACAAGTGATCCTGACTGGTTTGGCTGGGAGACTATCAAGTGCTGGCACTTCAGCTGCTCCTCCCCAACTGTCTTGCTGGGTGGGGGAGACAGAGGTAGGGGGGCATTGATGTCACTCTGGCCCCCTCCCCTGTACCTCATCTTCACAGAGTAAGAAGGGTGGGGCCTTGACAAAGGGCTGGGGTACGGGCAGGGCCTCGGAGAAGGAACAGAGTAGGGATATTTGGGTTTGAGGTTGTCATGATCAGAAGGAGTGCTGATCAACACCCGGTGACTAAGGGCTAGCTCAGGTACCTAACAAAGGTGTCAGCCAGGGGGGCGGTTCAGGCAATTAGCCAATAAAAATGCAGGTAGGAATTTCAAATGGGAAAAGAGGGGTTTTTCTCTCTCTCTTCTTTGTTTAAGATCAGAGCAGTTTCTCCCAGATATTGAGGGAGATGGGACATACTTTCTCTCTCCAAGAATGGACTTCTTGAAATGTGTAAGTAGGGAAACATTTAGATAGTCCATTGGGTTTATTGGTTTCTTTGTTTGGGGGTTTGGAA